TACCAGTACGTCAACTTCATCTACAAGCAGTTCTTCATCTACAAGCAGTTCCTCCAGTCAGACATCGAATGATCAACCCACTACCGTACCATCAATGGCCGGAATGGGAACGCATGCTTTGCTATTGAAGAGTTTTGCGTTATTAGGCAGTATTGCCATCGGCACTGCTATCATACTGGTGGTTTAGATTTTGGGTTCTGCTCATTTTGATTAAATCTTTATATTTTTGTAAACCGTTGAGTACATACAAATTGTTAAATTCGAATCAAACGTTTGTCGAACAGAATTAAATTTCTTCATTGTCTTTTCTTTTTTATGTTTCCCACCCTAAATAAGTGGTAATCGGCGGATATTCGTGTTTGATGATCGATCCTCACAATTTGAATGTCGTACAGTAATATCACTATTATGTGACGCCTGATCTATGAAAATGGTGCATTCGCAAAAATAGATGATCGTCAGAACATCATCTTTAAAAAAGGATTGTCGCCCCACTCCCTCTACCCCCAAAATCAATAGGAATGCAGTAGGTGTTATTCAACTTCTGGTTGTCTTGTCCTTATAAGGATCGTTAACAAATCTTAATAAATAGATAGATTTGTTCGGTCCTTACGTAATATGCTTATGTAGTTACTTTTTGTCAAATGAATGGGAGAATTATAAACGGTCAAAGAAGCGGAGTAATTCGAGTTATTGTTATGGTGATCGGCTGGATTTAGGGTACAGATTTTGGGGGTTTCTCAGAGTCCGGAGACCCTTCCTATCATTAACTTTTAATCGCTGTTTGTTGTGAGAAATTTTACTATTACACTTGGAGTCAGGAGAAAATCGCACATCCCCAAGTATATATTCTATACAACAGCCCAATTTTAGATCAGTCGACCACAAGAATTACGTATTATGGTTTGCGTGTAAGGATTCGATACATTTTCCGCAATCCAGGATACGCATTTATTCTGGACATCGAGATAACTCTTTCTTAATAAATAATATTCGTCTACATTAAATACTTTTACCAATAGACACAGTATAATTTACTTAACGAAGCAAAATTTCTTCGATAATCCGAAAGATGCAATAACTCACGTGATTTTCACCATCCACCAATAAATCTTTTGACTTTATCACGGCGATCACAATATACGAAATCTTGAACGTAATCGTAAATTCTTGTTTGTGCACTTTTACGTAACTTGCTAATCGTTTGCAATTCTATATTTAATTCCTCTTGTTGCATATACTAATTAAAGACTGTCAATACTATTAATAGCTTCTGCTGAGAACGTTTTTTGAAGTTGATTTCCGTATCATTGACATTATTTGACCGTATAATAGAAAAAACAATATAATGAAACAAGAGAATGGTTGTACAGCCTTTAATAGAGTAACTGAGAGAAAATACAGTATAATGATATAATCTTTATTGATGATAAATTAAATATTGAGATCGATGATTCTGATTAGTTAATCATATAACGAAGTTCGTTACCGTCATACATAATTTTATAATACATGAGTTTTTGAGAACTTTGTCTTATATCGTTATATTAAATTACGTATAAATTTTTGTTTATCTGAAATTATTTCGTTAAGAGTGAACTAGTTCCAGGAAAATACTTCGTTATAAGCCATCTTCATTAAAGTGAGAGTTCGTTAAAATAAATTTTACAGTGTGCAAAATCCATTCACTTTCTATTTAGTTTTTTATCAAGAACAATTCTCTCTAAATAATTCGTTCGCTTCGGTGATTAATTACGAAAGTCAACTTTATCATTCCGCTCCACCACACCACCACTTTATATAAATTTATGCTTGCCATACTGTATTCTTTATTCTAATACCTCTTTTTTACTGTCACATTTGAATAGCCATTATTGGTAACTTTTCCTCCCACTAGAAAACGTATTTTTGCTTCTATTGACTCCAAATGTGTTTACCTTCGATACTACATCCTTCATTTTTAACCGGGTCTTGTTTGCATCTCGAGCACACTGATTTGCAACCAAGAACTTGACAATCACCGGATTTGCATTTCTCACAGCTACTGTAGTCATGAAGTGTTACGTTACAACAAATATATTTGTAGATACAACCAGTGCTACCTACGGGTTTCTTGCAGCACTTATGTAAACGTGTGCACCCTTCTTCTTCTATTTCTTTGTTGCAGCATTTCCATTCGTAGGTTGGTGCATTTGCTGCACGAACAGTCCAACTCTTTGCGTTCTGATCAAAGACTCTGCTAACACCGGGTTGGCCATGGTGGAATTTTCCAATTACTTCTTTATGAGTAGCCCTTAATGGTTCCGGATGAATTTTTGTAATTTCGAAATGGCATTTAGGATTTGCTATTCTTGTATCTGTTTCTTCGGAACACTTTAAACATTTGACTTTTCTAATTTCGAGCGGTATCGGATAGCTTGTATGTCCTCTCATCAAATGCTCGTATTTTGTGAAAATTTGTGTTGGGTCTGACTTTTTAAAAACATTATGTTCGTTCATTTTTTCATTAGTCAAACTATTATAAAACATTTGTTTGTGTTCGTCGAGACTTTCGAGTAAAGAAATTTCAAAATTTCCCGTATTCTCGAGTAGACTTCTTCCTGCGTCTGGCTTATGACCATGTTTTTGTTCGTAAATCTTTTCAGCTATTTCCTGAGCAGCGGCACGAGGGCCGTCCCCATGTCGGCTATCCTTGGTAACAATGATAATATTGTCCCATACATTGCCATTATAGTCTCTCGCAAAAGTTTCTATGAATTTTGCTTGACGTTTAAGGGATGCAGTTTTTCTACACTCGTACTTGACAAACCACAATATAGTTGTTATACTAGGTACTTTTCCTAGCACATTACGTAAAATCAAGCACATGGTTTCATCGTCAGTCTTGTCTTCATCAATGCCAGTAAGTCCAGGTGTATCAATAAATAAATCCCCGTTTCCGATATCATAAAACGTAACTTTATCGGTTTCGGGTTCAACCGAATGACCAGTTTTTGCGTTTGCGCCAAAAACGGTTGCCGTAAAACTTTTTCCGAGACCAGTCTCTCCGATTGCAAGAATGTATTGTTTTTGTGATGACTAATACCATATCGATTAGTATTTGTTATTAAGAGTTTTGAAACAAGACATTTATAGTACTTAAACTTTAAATAATTATACTTACATTTAATATTTTGCTCCAAGCGTGCTTTTCTTCGGTACTACACCCTTTACTTTTAAGCGAGATTTGTCCGCATTTCGAGCACACCTCTCGACAGCCAGATTTAACATTAACTTTGCAATTACCAAATTTGCATTCCTTACTATTATTGCAGTTATGAGAAATCGTGTTGCAACAACTATACATTTGGATGCAACCGTCGCTGCCTATGGGTCGCTTGCAACATTTATATCGAGATTTACATCCTACCGAGTATAGCTTTCCGTGGCAACATTTCCATCGTTTTTCTAGTGTATAGACGTTTGCACCTCCTATAGTTTGACTCAAGTCTTCGGGTATTTCAGTAACAGCGGGTTGATCAGGGTGAAAATTTTCAGCTCCTTCGCTGTGAACAGCCTTTAACGGTTCGGGATGAATTAGCCTTCTTTTTCCTGAATGACATTTTGGATTTGCTAACCTAGGATCGGTTTCTTCGGAACAATTTGAGCATTTTACTTTTTCAAGAATTTGTTCCGGTTTAGATCCTTTGTAAACATTATCAGCATTCATTTCATCGCTGTTTAAACTTTTATAAAAATTTTGTTTACGTTCATTGAGACTTTCGAATAGCAAAATTTCAAAGTTTCCAATTTTGTTGAACAAACTGCTTGGGGTTGGTTGATTGGGATGTTTTTGTTTATAAACTTCTTTAGCAATTTCTTCGGCAGCAGCTCGTGGACCCTCTCCATATTT